CTCGTTTGCCAGTGATAAACCTCATGACATTCTACAAAAAATGGCTAATTGGAGAGGGTTGACTAACAAAGATGAAAGCACAGCAAAAAATGCAAAGTGCAACACTGGGAGCGAACACCCCGTCAGATGTAAATAGAGTTATAGAAGAGACGGCTGCCTGGGGACGTGGCGCCTCGAGGTGCCCGGGCCCAGGAGCCTGTGGGGAACTTACTCACATCAGTGAGGAAGTGGTTGTGAGGGAAAGGATGAGATGTGCCAGAGAAAGTAGCGCTGGCAAGAACTTCACGTCAGAGGAACCCTCGGAGATAATTCCTGACATTAAAAGCACGGAGGATGAAATGTTGCAAGCTGATTCAAACTTAGGAAGGAGTGTGGCGGTTCTACAAGGCACAGAGAAAGATGCTCACTCTGTCGTCAGTTACATACCCAGGAGGCAAGCACTGCTCAAATGACGCTTAACGTTTCCTTTTTTACAAAGAAAGAAAATGCTTTAATCCTCAATATTTCCAGTGTTTTAATTTTACTAATTCTTTTTCATTTTCCTATATATTTATAACCAACAATAAGAAAGTTTTTAATGTTTTGACAAAATTTTCTTAAAGGTTATGGAACAGTCATAATTGTTCCTATTGATTAAGATCGCTTTGCATGGTTAATTTTATGGTCCCACATCACTGTGCGACGTGAGGTCTGCACGTGTGTGTGTGTTTGTAATTGTTTGTGTGTAGTAGGTGATATCATCTATGGCTTCTATATCAGTGCACTAAAAATGTGTTGAAGTCTATCTCACAAAAAGCGTGCAGTGGGTTCATGGGGTTTGGAAGCACTGATCTAGATGATTCCAAATTTGTGTAGTATGTGTTCATCCTGATATTTGTTTCCTTATGTGCTTATTCATTCTTCCATTGTATTTAATGGTATTTCTCCATCTGCATAAAACAACATTTAAAAATGTAAAGGCATATGATATGGTTCAGGCTTTTTGAAAAAACACATAGAGGTATTTATTGTTGGTAATTGACAGATAGCTTCAGAGTTACTGAAGATATTTTGGTTTAGGCTAGTGGTAATGATCTTTATTAAGCACAGGATGTGGTTTTTAAAGACTGTTTAAAAACTCTCAGGTTAAGATGCCGAGTCATGTTCGTTATCCTGACTCTACCAGCTGAGTCATATTTGAGGTGTGTTCTGCATATGTGTGTAGGTAAACGTGTTCAGAGTGTTGTTGGAAAGTCTCGTTTACAACATTTAAACCTGGACGTAGACTTGTAAGCTCTGGGAATCTGGTGACTATTCTAGACTTCTGTTCACGCACCACGCTGATTTAATCAGACATGCGGCTCGTTTCTGAGCGCTGTGGTGGAGACAGCCCGGACGGCGACCACTGGGTGTTCTCCGCATTATTCAAAGGGAAATTGGGCCCTTTACGCTTGCTAAGAATGTTTGCCTATGAAGCTGTTTGAAATAAGCAAATTTCCAATTTGGTTCCATATCTTGCGTTTCCAAATGAGGAGAAAAAAGGATATGTGGTCTAACAGCCACATTACACCATTTTAATCATTTTAGTTGATTTCTTATCAGCGTGGTTTATAAGAAAAACATAAGAATGTTCACAACAAAAGTTGCCATTTGAATCCCATGAGTTTCTTACGCGCTAAAAATTGTGACACTGACAGTCTTAATTCTTCTCTCTTCAACTCTAAGAAATGATTTTTGTGTACTCTTGAAACCATAGGTAAATTATGTTTAATTTTATATTTTTCTGTAGTCAGTTGGGAAAGAACAGTATTTGCAGTGTTTTCCCCATGAAATCCATGTATATTGCAACCCTTTTAGTTTTAGTTCTTTTTACATCTATAAAATAACTTCTTGTCAGTCTTAATTGTTCCTTTCAAACATTCCCATCATCATTTTTCTAGGCAGCTCCAGGACTGTTTTTTTTTTTTTTGTATACATTAGCACTAAAGATGGCTGGAGGAAGCCTAGGGCCGGATCGGCCCGTTTACTGTGCAGTCAGTCACACACTGAAAACAGGGTGCTCGTCCGTTCCTCCAGCTGTTTCATGGATTTGACCACTAGATGGTGCCAGAGCGCTAGGGAGTGGCTAAAGAATTCTGCATCTACCAGATGTTCAGTTTGATCTTAAGAAATATTTACTTTTAGAATTCACTTAGAGATATCTAGAGACTATTTTAAATATCATGTTGAGCACAGCAGGTTTTTTTCTTTTTCACATGGTACATGCCAGTAAGTATTTATTGATTTGATAGCTGTCTTTTTACAGTGTTTAGTCTGGGAGAAGATCTCTATTTATTGGATTTAAATGATTCCCAAGCTTAATTTTGCCCTAGTTTTCTTAAGTTTATTATGTTTATTTTTTCCTTGTATATCACGTTTCCCCACAGTGACAATAAAATTTATGTTTAGGTTGTGCTCTCTACATGCAATTTTGCTTTAGCTGTTTAATCTAAATTTTTGGATTTTCCTAGTTACCGTTCTCTTGAAGCTTTAGTTGAGAAACAAAATATTGATATACTGTTTGGAAATGAGAATAAAATGTATGAATGTATAATGAATATAATATAGTTGGTAATACACACACCTAAGATTTTCTATAAGATCAGTCTCTTTGCATGCAAGTTTTATGAAGAATAGAAAAATTTCTTCTTGAAATTGTCTGAATTTATGTTTCTCACCTGCATGAAAGGAAGAATAACTGTGATCATTGCTGCGTTGAGGATCCTGAAATACTGAGCATAATCCAAATGCTCCGTGTAAGAAATTTTAGATTTCAGATTGCAGATTATTTCCAAATTATCATTAATTTAAAAAACAATCAAATAGAATTCTTGTTTTCTTCAATATTAATGTAGTATTTTATATTTACATCTGACATTAGCACAATATTTTATAGTATTCTTTTTTTTTTTAAAGATTGGCACCCAAGCTAACATCTATTGCCAATCTTCTCTTTTCTTCTTCTTCCTCCTCCCCCTCCCTCTCTCCCCTCTTCCTCCCCTCCCCCTCCCCTTCCTCCCCTCCCCCTCTTTCTCCCCTCCCCCTTTCTCCCCTCCCCCCTCCCCCTTCCCCTTTCCTCCTCCCCCTCCTCCTCTCCCTCCCTCCCTCTCTTTCCCTCTCTCTCTCTCTCTCCCCCCCTCCCCCTCTCCCCCCAAGTCCCCCAGTACATAGTTGTATATTCTAGTTGTAGGTCCTTCTTGCTCTGCTATGTGGGATGCCACCCCAGCATGGCTTGGTGAGCGGTGCCATGTCTGCAGCCAGGATTCAAAGTGGTGAAACACTGGGCTGCTGAAGCAGAGCGTGCGGACTTAACCACTCGGCCACGGGGCCAGCCCCAGGAATTAGCTTTCAAACTGCCTTTTCCCTTGAGCTGCTCTAAAGCGCGGCTATCTTACCCCAGCTAGTGGTACACATTTGGGGGGCGTGGCTATGCAGATCACCAAGTGAGGTCTGTACTGTACTGTTCATGTGCTGGAGGGCCCCTGGAGGTTATGGAGTTGGGGTCTCCACAGCGAGATGGAGATTTTGATAGAGGTCCTCAGATAATTCCTTCACCCCCTTTGCTACTATCCTGTCTGCCAGACCTGACTCCCTGCTGGACGCTCAGCAGGCCCTGAGTTCTGTTCCTGGACTGCAGCTGTCATTGCTGGGCTGAGTTCTTGTGCCTTCAGTTTTGCTCACTTAGCTTTTTAGAATTTTGCAGATTGTGTACAAGAGTCTACATAAAGTGTCGTACTGTTTTATATGTGTGTGCCTCATCTCTGGTAACCACCCTGTCCTCTTTTTGTTGCAAGTCTGCCCTCACTCCTCTTCCTCGCACAGTGGTGGGAGCAGACTAGACACTTAGTCCACACTCAAGCAGCTGAGGCTTTGAAAAAGAATAAAGGCTCGAGGGCTAATATTGAAGAGGAGGAAATATTCTGAGATTTAGAAGTCTTACTCTTGTACTTTTTCTTTTTTTCCTGAGGAAGATTAGCCCTGAGCTAACGTCTGTGCCAGGCTTCCTCCACTTTGTATGTGGGTCACTGCCACAGAATAGCTGACAAGTGGTGTAGGTCCACGCCTAGGATCTGAACCCGTGAACCTGGGCTGCTGAGGCGGAGTGCACAAACTGAAGCACAATCCCAGGGGGCGGCCCCACTCTTGTGCTTTTTTGACCTGATTTATTGACCTCTATCCTTCAACTGAAGGTGGTATTTTTAAACTAATGATAGCCCTGTTAAAGGCGGGATATAGCTTAAAGGGGAGACTGTTTTACTAATAGCTTTTCTAAAATAAAGACTATTAAATGGCTTTTTGATAAACTACATACCTTGATTATTAACCAACCCTCCATCTTCTCTTCTCTACCCTTAGCACATGAGAATTTAAATGCAACATAGGGGTGTGATCATGGCAAATCTAAGTTCAGAGTGTTTTATCCAAAATCCACTTGTATTAATATGCAGTCACATTGTTTTCTCTGAAATAGCCTAAGTTTAAAATCAGTTAATCAAAACCAATCCTTTACATATATCACTTAAAAAATACACTTGAACCTTGTCCTGTCTACCCCCACACCACACAAGGTCCTAGATAGTTCGTAGATGGAATGAGAGAGGCTGAGCGATCAATATTCACTCAGTTACATCTGCAGTAAATGAGCTGGGTTGAAAACAGCGTTTCCTTTCTCAATTCTTAAAGCTCAGGGTTGGATAGAGTTCTCTTCCCCTGCTTTCTGCTCTCTGAAGAGTGGCTTCAGAGCAGCAGCGTTTCCTGGACGCCGCTGCAGTGCACTGACACGGCTGCGGCGCTCTCTGCCTCTGCAGCCTGCTCCGTAAACTGAGTCATGAACCCTGCCTCTCCGCCGCACACCACCTTATGCTTATCTCACTTATCTCACTATCTAATATGCCTTAATGTTTTTCTTAGTTCCCGATTTTACCCAAATTTCATACCATTTTACTTCTATTTTTATCCATATTTTGATGGACTCAAGCACGGATAATCAAAAGAAACATTTATTTACACTTTGTACATATGACTTCAGCAATCAAGAGAAGGCCCGGCGGCCCTTGCCCCCTGCTACACATCAGTGTAGTCGTAATATATGCGAACTTCTGATCTTCTGACGCTCTGCAAGGATCTGATGCTTTCGCTCCTGGTTCTGATATTTGATTTCTTGAATAACCTTCTGGAAAATGACCTACACATGAAAAAGTAAATTATGGGATCCAAGCACACATTGCACGCAGACAAGAAAAGTGTCATTTCTTTGCAGTAATACAGGATTTTGTGTGCAGATTCATCTAAAAGTCTCTCCAAGTCACTAAAAGTAAAAGGAATTCTGCACAGATGATACGGTAGAAAGCAGGTGAAAAACACAGCCACGACCACTCGGATGCTCTGGTTGTGCTTCCGCTTTCGGCTTGACTGGCTTATGAATTGCCTGCTGGATTTGTGGATGTACCTGGATATGGCTATGTAACATCCGATCAGTATCACCAGCACAGCCACAAACAGGCAGCTGTTGACATAAATGACTGCTTTATGCCATCTGACTCCCAAGGGACTTTTAAGTTTCATGCAGTCGTGGATATTTTCCCGAGTTGGTTGACCATTTGTTAGAATGATGTTTGGCAAGGAGAGAACGGCCATGATCACCCAAACACAGATAGATAAAACCTTCGTAAAGGTTATGCTGTACATGCGAGAATCCCCAAATGGCTTTACCACCTTCAGGTAGCGATCAATGCTTATCAGCCCAAGGAACACAATGGAGGTATACATGTTTGCGTAAAACAAAACCGAAGTGTATCTGCAGAGGATAAACTTGAAGTACCAAGGTCCAAATCCCGCATCGTGGACTATTCGGAATGGAAACGTCAGCGTCATGATGAGGTCAGCAACCACTATGTTTTTGAGATAAAATATGAAGCTGGTTTTGTTCCTAATGTGGAAGAAGATCCAGACCGCTAGACCATTCAGCAAGATGCTTGCCACGAATATGACGAGGTAGAGCACAGGCAGGACGATGGTGTCGAATTCGTTGTTGACGGTGGTGTTCTTTCCGGGCCCCTCGCTCGTGTTGCTGGGAGCCTGACTCCCTTGGCCGTGCAGCTCATGATCTGTAGGAGAAGTGGGGAGACGTCACTTCCGTGCTCTGTGTACACGCCCCGCGGACTAGCAGGCCCCCTTACAGGCTGGACTGTTGCTGTTTGGGCTAGTTTAAAAATGTCGTTAGTGATTTAAAGAGTCAAGTTAGTGCTGTTTATTATAATTATAATTTTTAAGTTTTGAGTGGCTTATGACTTGGTGTCTTCACCCCTAAAGCCCCTCCCCTCCCAGCGAAGTCCTCTGGGTAAAACGTGATATTTCTGGTTCTCTGTGCTAACCATTTGAAAATGAAAATAAATATACCAATGGAAATTGTTCTGATTAGATTTTAATTCAGTGTTTCATATCATTTCAAATAGAATTGACGGAATCTGGGGTGGAAAATTGAAATTTCATATAACAGGAAAATATGGTTATCCTTCTAATGCAGCCTTTGGTATGCTTTCTGAAATATCTTTTCTCTCGCTTTCTCTCTCTCTCAATTATAAACAGTTATAAGCTGTTTAATCATCAACAATTGGGGAAGAGGAAAACTAGTGGGTCATTTTGAATTTTTTGCCCAGGACTTTCTGATAGTCCTAAAGAAGCTTTAGGGACCATTGTTAGGAATAGAAGCTAAAAGAAACAGTTGTTCTTAGTATTTAAGTTGATTATCAAGGAGGACAACTTAATAAAAATAACTGTAGGCTGGTACCTATTTTTATCTACAAGCCTAGATTAAACCAATTGCACTTAGAATATGAAACTTTTAAAGCTTTCACTTTTCGGAATTTTTAGTTCACGTTGTTAAAGACCTGTGCCCTACTACACTATCACATAGTCAGTGGCGTGGTTCCTGAGCATTGCGTTTACGCGGCAGCCGTGGAAACAGGTCCCCTGCTGCAGGGAGCGTGATGGACGGGCAGCCCCAGGTCAGTGCCCTGAATCCAGCACCATTTCCCTGCTGAGGCCACGCTTCCCACGACTGCTCCAGCCAATAACTGAGCCCACAGTGAGGAGACCGGGAGAAGCCTGTTCCTGGGGCAGGAGGGTTCCTCTGCCGAACGGCTCTGGCTGGAGCACTCCTCCTCAGTCTGGTCAAACGTTCTTCAAACCACACTGCCGTCTGAATCTCCCTCCTTCACCCCTGGCTCCGCACTCAGGGTCAGCCTGGATTGCAGTCTGCAGTTCCCGCTGGCATTTCTTCCCCCCAGTAAATCTCTTGGCCATCCAATTACGTTTGCCTTCTGCTTTTTTTTTTTGGAAAACCTAAACTAACGCAATTTACAAATGAACTCTTTGGCTGGAAGGTTACAAGGAAGGTCATTTCTGAATTTTTACTCCTCGCTAATTAATAGTGTTTACTCTAATTACAATTAGGTTTGGGAATGATTTTGTTTCAGAGGTATCAGCATGAACTTAGCCCTCGTTTCCCTACGTGACAGGCAGTGTGGTGTATGTTTTGGTTTCCTTCTTGGAAGAAGTGAACCAGGAAAGATAGTTTGGATGATCATGGTCCCAAAGCAGGTTCTTAAATTGCTGCCTGAAGTTTAAGTGTCGGCTCTTCCTGAGTAACCTTGTCCTCTTTCTGATTCTTTCCCTTTTATTCCCTGCTACGAGTGTTTTTAAAAACTGGTTTTCCTGGCTTAAATATCCTTACACAGGCTGGTAATTCATACCTGGCCTAGCCTGTTAGGATGAGACCCACGGTATTATTAAGCTTTACAAGTTGAAAGTGCCTGATTCAGCTGCTGTCTGTGTTCCTGTTGCCGGTTTCAGATATTGTCTTGAACAGTATCATTCAAGCCTATTTTGGCTTAATGAAGTGTTGCAGTCCCGGCTGCATCTGCACCACAGGAGCCACGTCAGCATCTATGGCAGTAGAAGCTTCTTAAGATGTGCGATTTTACCTTAAAATACCTGCTTGAATTAATTTCCCTGGTTAAACTATTAGCCGTCACTTTCACCTAGCCCAGAAGAGCACCCTAAGGGAAGTAAGGGGAGTGGAAGGAGGACACGTAAATTTTAATCAGGATAAGTGATCCGGCTGAGGGACACAGCCTAAAAAGGGGCAGCGACATCATCTCCTGAAACCATGGCTGTGCCTTGTTATAATGACTCACGAATGGTTTTCAACGCCATTGTCAATGCAGATAGAATGGTTCATGACCTGTAGTGTACCAGGCCTGCAGTATTTCACCCCTGAGTGTTGGCTCCCTGGATCTGCTGGTGCAGATCCATCATGGAATGGGCAGGGACCCATACTTCTCAGGGTCAGTGAGGGGCTTTGTGTCTGTTGAGTGTATCATCATAATACTTGAAAGTTTTAATTGTATGAACAGGCGCTCTTATTAAATGACAACTTGCTGATCAGTTTTGCTTATTATTAAAGACATAGTCTTAACTCAGAATGTCCAAAAGAGTTCTTGTGTATGTTCTGTCTTGTAAATAATCAATATGGAGCACGAGGGACCTTGTTCCACTGTGGTCACTGCACTGTTCTGTGGCTTTGGGACAGTCTGGTGTTCCGCTTGTCGACTGTGTCACCCACAGGGTTTTCTTCCGTAGTTTATGTGTGGGATTGACATTCTGGAGTACAGGACTTCTTAATTCAGTGGGCTGGGCCTGGGCTGGGTTATTACTTCATTCACAAATTCCACATTTAGAATGCAGCTTAAACAAATTAGTGGTTAAAGCCTGTTATGTGTTATTTTATGAAATAGTATGGTAGTAGAGTGAGAAAACTAGTTCCTAAGAAGCAAGAAGAGCCACCTGTGGGTTGCTCTGGAAGGCTGAAAACTTTACAGAGAGAGTTTTGTCTGACGGACTGATTTTGTTTTAGACTTAAATCTACATCATGTTCTTTTCTGCTGGCTACCCCCATCATTTCTGCTTTTCTGTCTCATTGCCCCAGTTTTTCCAAAGCTTGTGGGTGTGCTCAGAAGCATTTCTCTGCACACTGTTCCTGCTCAGGAACAATGACCATTAAGGGTGAGTGGCTTTCTTCACCCAGGCAGTTTTATCATGCTGTTCTTCACTGTCAATAAAGAACTTGGCCAAGTTAGGAAACATTTTTAATCACAGGTACCTTGGGGATTCAATTAAGAAAAATTAGAAGCTGTTTATACAGTGTAAAGGCCATTTTCTCACACACTCGTTGTTTCCTAGGATGTTATTCCCTGGATTATTTAACACACAGCTTGATAAGAGCGATAATTGTGGGTAAAAGTTCCTTTCTTCTCTCCCCTGCTTCTCCTCCCCCGGCTCCTTTTAAATTAAGTTAGCAAAGGCAGTGACATGAAGACTCTGGTTCCATGGTAAATTATCATTTTGCATGTGTGTGTGAGAGAGAGTGGTATTATGGTGTGTGTGGTGTGGTGGGCTGTGGCTGTCTGTGTCTGTGTGTAGGGAAGATTGCGTGCCTTTGTGTGTTGGAGAAACGCGTGGGATTTGTAGCAGAGAGAGCGTTAACCACTGTGGCTACTCTATCGGATGGTGCAAATAACAGACATCTTCCTCATTGCAGAAAGGCCTGTTTGACAATGCTGGTTTAGTCACTTCAAGACTTTGTAAAATGGAGTAAATAAAAGCCATTTTGTTGAATCCTCTGAGAGTTAAATGCTCCGCAGACGTTATTTCCAGCGCAGTAGCTAGTGCCTGGTAGGTGTTCGCTGTCTGACTGAAGGCGCTGCAGTCACGTGCCGTGCAACGTTTGGGTCAGCGATGGACCACATATATGACGGCGGTCCCATAAGATTAGTACCATAGAGCCTAGGTGTGCAGTGGGCTACACCATCCAGGTCTGTGTAGGTATACTCTGTGATGTTTGCACAGCGGCGAAGTTACCTCATGACACGTCTCTCGGGACATATCCCCATTGTTAAGCGACGCGTGATTGTGATGACAATTTGTCTCGTTAATCGCAGTCACATTATGCGTGATCGAAAGAGCATGGAGAATCTTGGGCCTTTTGCTTTTGGTGAAGCTACATTATTGCTCATTGGGGCGTGTCACTGTCTGGCACAAAATGTGAAAGTCTCAACAACATGTCACTGTTCTACCTGCCAGGTAGGAATGAAACACTAAAGTCATGCAAATTGCAGGGTGTCACCTCCATGGCCCAGCTGCCCTTGCATGATCGTGTTCTACATAGCCACCCAGTGGAGTAGGTAGACGCTGTGCTTGGCCTCCGGGGAACCTCGGTGCACCTTGGTTTAGACATATTACATCTGGAAAGTAATATGTGCTTTAGTTTGGGTATAAAAATCTCCCCCAAATGTTATTAATTTAATCTTTCTTGTCCTTTTAGAGATGGTCTTTAAAGGAAACAAGCTTAAAACGAAGTAATAGCAAGTCAGTTTTCCTTCAGTGATGCCATCCTGCATGTGTGCCCTTTCATACCTAATCAAAGGCAAGGATAAATGCTGGTTTAATTTGTTAGTTGGTTTGGTGGCTGATAAAACCCCAAAATTGCCACATGGTGTGAGTAACAGTTTTTGATCAAATGAGATTCTGTTTGTATTTTTTCCTATGGCTTACCTGGTAATTTTGCAAGTGTCAAATTGAGCCCCATTCTCTAGTTGTGATGGACTGTGCGCTGAAACTCTGTGTGTCAGGAAACACTCGGGGACGACTGAGGCAAGGGTCCAGCATAGGTTGTTCCTGGTTTGATTTCTGGGGGAAAAAAGAAAACAAAAAACAGTTGGCAAGGAATTTGAATACACAATATTTTGATCTTTTCAGTTAAAAAAATATATCTATGTGTGTGCCACCGCGATTCAAAAGATGCATACTCTTTGGACGTGAACAGCTGTGGCACGCGGGAGTTGTGTTTTTGTGTCCTCTTTCAGCCCGCCATGAAGCCTGGACCGTTTCTGTGCAGGCTCTCCATCTGAATGCCACTGTGTGGCCTTGGAAAGTTACTTACCATCTCTGTAACTCAGGGCCCTCATCTCTGAAAGGAGAGTTACGATAATCACACTACGGGATTGTAATGAGGGTGAGGTGAGATAAACCCTAGGCTTTTATCAGAACCTGGTCTGAGGGTGCACTTGGGCGTGGCAGCTTCTGCTTCCCCGTCCTTGCTTCCACCTCATGCGTGTAACTCCATGTGTGTCTGATGGGACTTAGGCACAATTGGAGGTTGTTAAGAAATTTTAAAGATCTAGCACTGATATGTGTAAGAGCGTTTTATCAGCTCGAATGCGTTCAGCGTCCGATTCTCGTCATCTATGGGGTTCTAGCTCTGGCCCTACTCTCACCAGCTGTGTGACCTCCATCAGGTCACCTGACCTTTCTGGAATTGGACTAAAGGCCCTAAAAAGTCCCTATCGGGGTGCAAATTTATGTGAGCTTCTCTATTTTCCTCAAACATAGATTCCCGTTAAGAATTTACTATCATGTGAACGTTGTCTTGTAAGTCCGTATATTTCCTCATGATGTTTGACTAGGAGCAAATAATTGAATTGGGTTTGAGTGTATGTGTCTGTGTGAGTGAGATTTTGGGTAAACCCCTTAACTGTTCCAAGCTTCGGATTCCTCACTACGATTTTATAAAGGTTAACTGAAGTCATATGTGCATGCAGTGTTGAATCCTGTAAAACACTCTTTCCCCCTTCTCCTTCAGCAGCCACATCTGTTCTCCGTTCTCTGGCTCCCGTCAGGTGTCGGTCAAAGAGAGAAGCAATCCCGGGAACTGCTTTGGAAAGTGCGCCACTCAGTCAAATATGCTAACGGAGCCGTTTCCCGTGGGGAAGTCACACTGTTCTCGTGAGATGAAACCGCTGCGGCTCTCATGTCCCCTCACTGCTGTTGCTCTTATGGCAACAGCTGCAAGGAAACCCCAGTAACCTCACCCGCTCCAAGCACAAGGCAAGCTCTGGCTGGTGTGAGCAGTTCCGTTTGCCAAGTGAGCAGGAAGAGCGCTCTGGAGGCAGAAGTGCGTTTAAGAATTGTGCAGCAGGTGGAGGGCGCTTAGTTCTTTTTCTGTTACTTTGTGCTTCTCTTCTGTTCCCCAGTGTCACATGAAGTTTAGGCACTGGATTTGGTAGTAGATGGAAAAAATGGTTTCCAAATTTTTAGTGATTCCCCCCGCCCCAAATCATATCTTCTGAGTGTTTAGAGCCCCTGTCTGTGCCTCCCCCTGATCCACTGCAGCAGGTGGCATGTAGCGGGCACTCAGGTATTTTTGGTTAATGGAGCACAGACAATAGTTAGGGCTCTCAGAGCCCCTCCATTTTGGCTGGTAGTGTTGCAATATTTTTAAAGGAAGGCAAGGAGGTGAAAACCTACTTTCTTTTTATTTATTAAAGCTTACTGGGAAGAATGATTGAGGCAATGAATTTTCTGAAGTTCATAGTAACAATCCTTGGATTTCAGTAAACCTTTTTTTTTCTTGAATCCAGCTTCTTGTGGAAACATTTCAAGGAGTTTACCTGACAAACACATCTTTAATTTTATGATTCTCTGTTCCCAAATTATGTGGGTTTACTCCTCTTGGTTTCACTTATACCTTACTCAAGAACAAGGATTCCGATATGGCTGACGTCCACTGGGGAAGAGGCAGCGCCCAGAAGTGGGTGAGCCACAAGCATCAGTAAAAGAGATAGTGGACTATTAGCCATTAAGGAGGACACAGAAAAGAGACTGGGAGGAGATATTTGCATATCGCATTTCTGATAAAGAATTTATATTCAGAATATACAAAGAACTTTTACAACTTCATAATAAGAAGAAAATGACCCAAGTAAAAAAGGGTCTAAAGGTTTGTATAGACATTTCACCAAGAGCACGTGAAAAGATGCTCAACATCATTAGTCATTAAGGAAATTCAAATAAAAACCACAATGAGATGCTATTTCTTACCTACCAGAATGGCTACAAATAACAAAGACAATAACGTGTTGCCGAGGATATGGAGAAACAGGAACCCTGATACACTGCTGGTGGGAATTTAAAAGGATATGGCCACTTTGAAAACAGTTTAGTAGTTTCTTAGAAAGTTAAACCTAAGTTTATCATATGGCCCAGCAGTTCCACTTGTAGATATCTACCCAAGAGAAATGAAAACGTGCCTATGGAAAGACTTGTATGCAAATGATTATGGTAGCATTATTCATAATAGCTATAAGTGGAATCAGCCCAAATGTCAACTGATGAATGGATAAGCAAAGTGCAGTGTAGTCATACAATGAGTACTAATCAGCAATAAAAAGGAATGAAATACAGCTATAATATGCAAGAACCTCAAAAACATTTTGCAAGGGAAAGAAGCCAGATATAAAAGGTCACATACCATTTAGGTGAAATATCCATAAAATGGAAATCTGGAGCAGTAGAAAGTAGATTAGTGTTTTCCTGGGCTGGAGGTGTGACTGAGATTAACTGTAGGAGTATGAGGGATCTTATTGGGGGAAAAGACTGGATTATGGAGATGGTTGCATAACTCTATGAATGTACTAAAATTCATTGAATTGTACACTTAAAATGGATGAAAATTATGGTATGTAAATTATATCTCCCTAAAGTTAAAAAGCAGAAAATATGACACAGAAAAGAAAAGTAGTAGAAACAGGCTAATTGCTAGTTCACTGTGCAGTAATGGATGAGTTTTCAAGACGAAGGAAGAAGCACTTGGTAAGCACGTCTCTGTCCTCCGCTGGAGAAGGTTGTGAGATGCAAGGTACGTTTAGCAAGAGCTCCCCCTCCTGAACGAGGTGAGGGGTGCTGCTTAGCGATCTATGTGATGCATTGATGAGTCTCTTCTTTGAGAATTGGGTCCACAATCCAGGGACCCCAGATGCAGGTGATGATTTGTACTTTTGGGGGATCCATGTTCCTATTCTCTTAATTCCTGTTGAAATTTTATGGAAGGGTTGGGTTTTTTTTTTTTAAACAGTTCTTTTGTGTGTGTGTCTATGAGGAAGATTGGCTCTGAGCTAACATCTGTGCCAGTCTTCCTCTATTTTATGTGGGATGCTGCCACAGCATGGCTTGACGAGCAGTATGTAGGTCTGTGCCCGAGATCCAACCCTGCAAACCCTGGACCACTGAAGCTGAGCATGCGAATTTAACCACTATGCCACTGGGCCGGCCCCAGAAGGACTGGGTTTTCATTAGTTCAGTCATGATATTTGGATTTTCTGGAATCAAAAATGAGATATTTTATTCTCTCTACTGGCTTTTCTCTTGGCTTCTTCATCCCTTTTACTACCTTCTCTAAATGAAGTGCTTCCCCAAATTTAGGCCTCAGCTCCTCATTCTTTTATTTCCTTTTTTCAAGAGTATTCCTGTCTACATGCATACCCAGGCATCACCTCTTTTCCATAATCTGTCTCTTCCTTTCCCCAGACTTCAGTCCACTGTGTACATTGGAGTATGCTATATGTCTGTGTCCCTGATGTGTCTAAACTTTGGCTGTTTTCCATTTCTTCCACAGAAGCCCCTTTTCCTTTTATCCCTGTTTCTGAATATTAGCTACATCTCTTGCTTGAAGGCGTTTAGAACCTCAGTATTCTACTGAGTAGCCCTCTCTTCCTTGCCCCTCATCTACTGGTCACTGACTAGTCTTTCTGTTTCTTCTCTTACAATATCTTTCCTTTGCTCTGCCCTCACCTTGCCTCCTCTGTCGTCGTCTTCCAGATTGAGCCCCTGCTACCTCATGTGTGTCACTGTCCTGACAACCTCTCTAGTCTTTCTGCTTCTCGCTTCATTCCTCCCCGGTCTCCCGTGCTGCTTGTTGCCAGTCTTCCTTTGGAATAACCCATGTAGGCATGCTTTTCTACTGCTCTCTGACTCTGAGTTATAATGTGGTAGGGAAATTCTTGAGTTACAATTACTAATCAAATATAAGGAGTTATTTTTGTAATGTTGAAGATTGTGGAGTGTCGAAGCCGAAAGATGCTGGGTTCTGATAATCTAAAGTAGGCGGTACACTTTGGAGAAATCTGCTTGGCTCATAATTAATCTTTTGAATCATCTGGACAATAATGCCTACGCTATAGCATCATTATGAGGTTGACTTCGATTATGCGTTTATAAATTAAGTGCGTTATAAATGTTAGTTTTTGCTTGTGTTATTTCCATTAGTCCTTACCTAAATGAAATTCCAGACTGTTCCCATCTAATTGGGAACTCTCCACATTAACTAAACTGTTGCCTCTCGCGGGCATGCCTCACATTTAGCCCCTGCTTTTCTTAATACCCATTCCTGCTCTTGAATGACCTCCTTTTTCCCCCCCTCTTTCTCTACCTTGAAAATCTCGACCTCTCTTTCAGTGCCAGCTATGATCTGACCTTTCCCGTGAGGTCATTTACTGAGAGTCTCCTTGCGTTTCCACCTCTGGGATTATAAGCATGAGGAGAATAAGTGTCTGTCCTCAAGGACTTGAGAGTCAAGTCAAGGATCCAGAAGTAAACCAACCACGGAGTACAGAGTGAGGGTTTGGAGTGTGTGGACATGCAGAGGTATTCCTCGTGAGGCGAAGAAGGGGTCACAGAGGTTCCATGGCAGCTGCGATGCCTGCGTTGTGGCAGGTTTGCTGAAGGTCCGATGGGAAAGGAGCGTGCGGAAATGTTGAATGTGGCCAAAGATAAGGTGCTATAATCTGCTGGGGAGACGGTAGCTCTGAGTGATGGAGAGAGGTGACAAATTGTAGGCACGCTGTGGAATATGG